AATCAGAGTGATGGTGGAGGTCTTTCTATGCTGCCAAATCACTGAAATCTGTCTCCAAGGTCTTTTTAAGTTATTTAAAATTATGAACCTCCTACCCCGAGAGGAAGCGGTGCTGAAACTGTGCCCATTGTGATGTCACACCCCCTCTGCAGTACTACACAGAGTGAAGGGGGCTAAAATGGGAACAGCTGTGCAAAAGCTAAGCTAGTGCCTCCCGCTATGTTTGAATGCTTGTTTGGAAACATAAAGACAAACCTCCAGCTGAAGCCTCCAGTCTATGGCAACAGGTTGCTCTCCTTCCCATTCAGGATCAGACTCTGGTTCATACGTGTCTACTTACGCAAGATAAAGTCTGACCATAGGAGTAGTTTGCATTATTCATTAGGCCCTATTCTGATTGGCTGGGGGTGAAGATAAACATTCACCTCCATCCAATCAGAGTAGGCGCTCATGAATAATGTTCATTTAATGTTAACTTCTGAACCAGCCTGCTGGAGGACAGAGGGGAATCTGGGATGTTTGGAGAATTCTAATACAGTGTCACAGATAGGTTTAAAATATACTCAGTATTTATAAGATGTTATTGCTTTAAGCTATGTAAGCATAAACACAAGCAGTATATGCTGCAGGAGCAACACAGAGACAAAAATATCCACCACAGCGCCCAGGCCGGCCGAGGGTTGTGAGGTCAGGGGGTCACAGAGTAGAAGCTGAAACTGTAAACTAACCGTTACAGCAAACAGAAGCAGGATGCGGAGCAGCAAGCAGAGGACACGTAGCATCTGAGGCAAATACCTGAGGCATGTTGGAGAAGACAAGAAAAAAAAGGGAGTGAGTTTCCCTGTCCGTTTCATTTATTTTCCCAGTGAGAGGGCAAAGGAGTTGTGGCTGTGCTTTTGTTGTCGGCCCCCACCCCTCTAGACTTCATGTTCTGAACAGTGGCCGCCTTGCATCACGCCGGCTTCCACAAACGGCGGGAAGACACCAGGCAAGGGAGGACTGAAAGTGCTCGTCTGAGAGGCTTAATGATGCAATCTGGCAGAAACACCCCGCTACTCTCCCACTGCCGCCTCCCCATGGCAGAGAACAGTTGCAGGGCTGCATGCGATCACTGGACATTTTTTCCGACAGCAGCTGTTACTCGAAGCTGTCACACTGACCACAGAGTGAATTGTGTCCAAGAATAGTGGCTCATTGTGTTGTAATTCTGTAACCTGAGTAGAAAATGTGGGACCTAACAATGAAGAGCTGGATTAAAGGAGAGTAAATCTAATCTAAAATCTGTTTACCCACAGTTCTGTATGTGTAACAGACCTTAACTTTCTTTTTCATACCAGAGATTTGCTGTGTATCACAGTAAGCATGTTGAACTTGTGGAAAAGATATAAAGGTTTTGTTTTGTTAAGAGCAAAATGCATTAATTAATGTGACATTTCTAAGGTCGTTTACTATTCCTGGATGTGAGCCTCATGACTGACGATAATTTTATTAAGAATCATGTTACACAGAAAAAAAAAGTACTGATATTTTCTTACACCTCAACCTTAGAGAAAAGTATATTTGAATTTTTTTCACTTCTGGGAGCCGTCACGTCGTCTGTCTTTGTATCCAGTCTCTGGGTGCAACAACCTGTAGATACACATGGCATTTTACACAGAAACCCCTGCTGTGCACCCCCACATGAAGCCCAAGATGCCACTGCCAACAAAAGCATTCATGTTAAACCAACAGGCACAAACTCCACAGCAGCACTGAGAACTCAGTTACACCACTAAGCAAGTCACGCAGTCGCCTCTGCCAGCTGTAAACTCAGCTCATCAACTGTTGATTCTGGAAGAAAATATAACTTTACGATCAGCGCCGGCTTCTTAAGTGGCTGAGGGGCCTCTGCATCAAAAGCTGCCGTGCTTTGAAATCTACTATTGATTGGGCTGACACGGGACGCTGAGCAAATGAAAACGCTGATTGGGGTTCTAATTGCTCTAATGGCAGATGGAGCAGGCGAAGCAGATTAAACAGAGCATGCACAGGGTTTTCCCAAATCGCCTGAGCAAGCACAAATACCATCTTGGCTCAGACCATGAAGCAGAGAAGGATAAACACGCTGGGCTCCCATGTAATCTCAGACCTGCTGCAAGAAGAGTTGAGATCCCACAGGCTAAGTGCTTCTTCTTCATGTTGGGGTACAGGTGAAAGCCACATCTGCAGGGCAAGATCCTGCATTTTATCAAGCTATTAACCTAAAAAAACAGATTTTCTTAAGACAAGTGCTGGTGGATCAGCGCTGAACTTAAAGGTGTGGTTTCTCCAGCAGCGCCACTGCTTGGCTAAGAAGCAACTGCAGTGAGATTTAAAAAATTGAACGTTGTTTATTCCAACTCTGTACTTAAACAAACAAACGAATGCCCTTATGGTGAGTCCCAGATGTAACTGCAGCTGAAACTGTTCATCCTGAGAGTTTCTCCCACTGACTGGATGCCAGCCTGCTGAGACCTGACAACCTGAAACAATCGCCCACTCGGCCCCGTGGCATTTCCAGGGCTCAGATTTGCTGTGCTGCGAGGCTGACAGCCAGGCCAGATGAATATTAACATGCTACCTCCTGCGTGAAGCTGCCCAGCTCTCACAGAGGATGGCAGCTGATGACAAACGTGGACTGACATCACGGGTAGGTTATATAGGCCTCCTTAATGTTCACTGTGTCACAGCGCCAGTGAAACTTTAGTCTGGTCTTTAACATGCTCTCACCAAGCCACTGACTGGACTCTACCAAAGATCGTTTGTGAATGGAAAAAAAATAATAAAAAAAACAACTACAACACCTCTCTACAACCACCTGGGAACCGTTGTTATAGTTCAGCAGAGTGGAGACTCTCAGACAGAAATGAGCAGCTGATCATGGTGCATTAATGCAGGACAGTCCCAGTTTGTGCAGATCAGATCAGATCAATATTTGGAGACCGTTAAGCTCAGACCTATGAATCACAGAGCCAGTGTTTATTGTGAAGCTGTTACTTCAATGTGTCACAACAATCAGTGTCAACCAACATTTCAGATCCACGACTGCTTAGCTGACTTTCAGGTTGGAGCCTCTCATTAACGTTAGTGCTGATTCATTTCCTAGTCACCACTAAAAATGCAGCATTTCTTAGTCAACAAGAGCTGTTCACAGACATGAACTGAATCTGTGAGGTGGTTTTTCTAACTTCAGTTACTTGCAAAAAGCTGAAATTAATGGCATTTTATTAGGGTTTCAGATTTGATAAGATTCTACTAAACCACAACCCTACACTAAACTGTATAAGCTTCAGCTGTAGCTAATAAACTGTCAACTGCAGCGACCTACCTTATTATTATTATTTTTGTTTGAAGACAAGTTCGCCAACTTGATAATCACAGTGTGCAAAGATATTGTTTTATAAAGTGCTTCTGCTAGTTTGTTCACCTCTGGTGTGCTATTTGAAGGTGTATAAACAACTAACTCTCCCTGACGTCCACCAACATCTCTGTATTTAGTAAAAATGTGGAGGCCACTCAGGAACAAGGAACAGAGCTGCAGTAGGATGATTTGCATTTAACTGAAAATGTGTTGGTAGATAAATACATGTTGGCACTCTGGGAATTCAATACAGCTGCTGGTGGGTAAAGAAAATAACTTTCATCTTGTTTTTCTTCCACGAGTGGAAAGTTTTACACACTCTCCTGTGTGATGAGTCAGCTGTGTGACTGTGAGCCTCTGAAGCCCTCTTCAGAAAGAATATACGCATTTGTGAAAAAATACATTTTCTCCTTCCTCAGTGAAACAACTTTGGAGCCCAAAGGAGGATTTTACTCCTCCACAGATGTAAGTCTGCTGTGTTTGTTCAGCCTGAGAGGCAGATCATCTCAGGCTGATGCCACATCAGTGGCTGTGAAGTGCTGCTCGCCTCTGCCGACTCGCCCGAGACTGTGTTTAACAGCAGCCGTGTCTGCAATAAAACGACAATTATGGCAGATATTTCTCCAGCGGGAATCAAACAGAGACAGCGGTCAGCTTTACGTCAAGTGACTGCATGCCTGGAGTCTTAAATCACTGTTCAACTCGCTCGAGGGAGACAACAGCAAGACCAAATATGAATTTATGGCCCTGCTGTGTGACAGCAGCTCTGCGCCACTACAGCAGAACAAGCCTCTCTCATCCCCGCAGGTCGTAATCTCCCAGGAAGGAGGAGAGAAAAATACATCTCTATGGCAACTGCTGGTCTAAAGGTGAGACGCTATGTTGCAGAAGAAGGCCACAGGCTGCAAGACAGCAAAACTGACACCAGCTGACATTTGTCCTAAATCTCTGCAGGTCCACCACGTTTTCACCCTGCAATAACACGGACTTGTCTTTAAACACCAAAGTGAATGACTTTAAAATTATTCACACAGAAGAAATAAGTCCAGGGGCATCTGGTTAGGAAAATACCAACTTACTGTCCTGTAGCACTTTAAAGCCAGTAACTGAAATTAACTGAGACTTCAAATTTGCACAGTTACAGAAAACAGAAGGTGACGTGTCAGGAAAAAAAATGAGCAACAACATTTAGTTTTGCTAATCCTTAAAACAAAAGAAAAGCTGATGAACATAATACAATTCTAAACTCCAAGTTAACCTACTAGCATTTTATTCAGTGTTCTCAAACAATATTCTCCCTTTCTTTTAACACATTTTGTTCTTTCAAGGAATGGAAAGTGACTGGGAGCATCAACTGTTCATGGGAAATATGGTCTCACTTTGCCAAAAATACCAGTATCACAGGTTGGAGATAAACAATCTCACCTCAGGCAGGTGAGCTGAGGATGCAGAACAAAAAATGTGTCCACAAACATTTCACTTGTTTCACATTTTGTTATGTTGCAGCTTAAACCTAACTTCAAAGCAAAAAACTGAAATTTAAATTTAGTAAAAAGGAAAAACTGACATACGACATTGACATAAGTATTTAGACTCTTCTATGACACCTGAAATTTAATTCGGGTGTCTCCCATTTCTCTCGATCACCTCTGAGATGCTTTTACACCTTGATTGGAGTCCACCTGTGGTAAAGAAACACACGTGTACAAGGTCTCACAGCTGACAATGCATATCAAAGCAAAGACTAAGCCAAGGATCTGGGTCAAAGTTTACCGGCGGATGGTCTCCTGATCATCTGACTACTCCTGTTTCGAGATCTGCCTGAACACGTTTTAACATAATCACCATTTCCCAGAGCCCACCACCCTCTGCAACATGAAACAGAGGATAAAACTATTAAAGTAAATTCATTCAAAGTTAAATTAAACTTTAATTTGTGGAGTTATAAAAACGTTAGGTGATAAAATTGGGATGCAACAGTTGAGTCTTGGCTGGTTCTCTGTGCAGAGTCTGGACCATCAGTCACTGCTGATGAAACACACTGACACGCTTTCCATTTCTACCACTGAGTCACAGGCAATCATCAGGTGCTCAATCACAGTCAGTGTCACTGACAAGGTGTGTGTGTGTGTGTGTGTGTTAGTAGAGCTAACCATGTCCTCAGTGTGTAACACTACACAATCTGTTACATGCTCCCATCCAAAGGTCGGAGCGCCCGGCTCTGGTCGCCTGGCAGCCAAAACAAGTCTCGACAGCAGGCATCACCCACCACTACAACACCTGGGGGGGGGGGCACTTTGGTTATGTTGAAAAGTCGCTCCTCTTCATAACATGAGGATCACATCCCACATATGCTGTGATTTTCTGTTAATACCTTTTCTCCTAACATCATCTAAAATAACAACACGGACTTGACTCCATTTCTTTATTCTGTTTTTCACTTCCTGCCCTCCATCAGTTTCACACATCATAACAGTCATGTGTTTGCAACCCACCAATTGAATATTTTTTGTCTGTTGGTTTAAGAAAAATATTTAATGACAACACTTTGTGCTCTAGAATATTATGAATTTTTAAAACTGTTTAAGTTGCATGGACCAAACGACTGATGAACTAGTAAGAGACAATAACTTGTAGATTAATTGATAATAAAAATAGTCGATGGCATCATACAGATAACATCTACTGTCTTCACTTCACTGTGACTGGATGAGCATCACTGTAGGATGTTAAGGATAAGGATAATCACCTTTATTTGGCCAAGTATGTTTTACACACACACACACACACACACACACACACACACACAAGGAATTTGTTTCCAGTACAGAACCGAGGCAGCCATCTGTGGCGCCAACTCAACCGATGGCTCATCAGGGGCAACTTGAGGGTTCAGTGTCTTGCCGAAGGACACTTTGATATGTGGACTGCAGGCAACGAGACTTGAACCTCTGTCAAGTTAAGTCAAGATTTTTATTTGCCATTTATGCATAAACAGACTGTCTAGGCATATAGGAATTCTTGTGCAGCTCACCTTTGGAGTCTGGTAAAGAGTCAAAAGCCAGAAAGAACACTTAGTCCTAAAATAAAAAAAGTTACATAAAGGCAACAAGCATTAAAAACCACAATACGCAAAAACAGGGTAATAGTATTTTCCCCGGTGAACTTCAAACATCACATTTAGTAATTCACAGGGTGGAGCTGGATATGTCATTACGCTTGGTGAGGTAGTGAGGGGTTATAACATACTAAAACACAGTTTATATTCAGGCCTGTTTCCATTGCTTGGTAGAGAATGTCCTGCTATTAGTCAGGTCCCCCAAGAGAACCCCATTGATGAGATGCTCTTACAAAAATACCCTGTGGAACATTTCTGTATTATTATTATTACACAGGTCTAGTGAGGGGTTATTGTACATATATTCTCAAATTTCCGTAGTTGCCATCAGTCTGTTCTGAGTTCTGTGTGTAATAATACTGTCCACCCTGCTGTGCCTGAGGCTGTAGGTGCAGTTTCTGTGTCTGAGCAGGGAGTGAGCTGGGTGGCGTGGATCCCTGAGTATGTTCTCTGCCCTTTTACGACAGCGCTGTGTGTATATTGTGTCCATAGCAGACAGTTCGGTCCCAGTGATCCTCTCTGCAGTCTTTATGACCCTTTGAAGAGCCTCCCTCTCTGCCTGTGTGGTGTTACCATACCAGACTGTGATGCCAGTAGTGAGGATGCTCTCTACCAGTCCTCTATAAGCCTGGGTGAGGGGGTGACGGTTCAGCCCAGCTTTTCTAAGCCGCCTGATGAAGTATAGCCACTGCTGGGCTTTCTTCACTGTGGCAGCTGTGTTCAGTGACCAGCTCAGGTCAGATGTCACCTGCAGGCCCAGGAACTTGTGGCTGTCAGTCCTCTCCACCTCAATCCCTTTGATGGTCAGAAGCAGCAGAGGGGAGGGGTTCTTCCTGAAGTCTACTATTATTTCTTTTGTCTTGTTTATGTTGAGGATGAGGTCATTCTCCTCTCCATAAACAATGTTGTTCACCAGGCTTCTGTAACCATACTCATCTCCCCCCTTGATGAGGCCCAGGGTAGTGGTGTCATCAGCATATTTAATAATGATGGTGTTGTCATGGTTGGAGACACAGTCATGGGTGTACAGGGTGAAGAGTTTGGGGCTGAGACAGCAGCCCTGCAGTGAGCCTGTGCTGACTGTGAGCTCACCAGACACCCGCCCTCCCCTTCTAACTACCTGTGGTCTTTCAGTCAGGAAGTCCAGAATCCAGTTACAGGTGGGAGTGAATGGTGTTGAATGCAGAACTGTAATCCAGGAAGAGCATCCTGGCATACGTACTGCTGTTGTCCAGGTGTATCAGGGTATGGAATAAAGCCATAGCCGTCGTGTCGGCCACTGATCTGTTGGGGCGGTAGGCAAACTGGAGAGGGTCTACAGTGTCTGGGACCATGTGGTTAACATGTGTGAGGACCAGTTTCTCTAAGCATTTCATGGTGACTGGTGTGAGCGCCACTGGCCTGAGGTCATTCAGAGTGGATGTGTCTGATGTCTTAGGGACCGGTATGATAATGGATTTTTTGAAAATGCGAGGAACTACTGCTTGGGTTAAGGACAGGTTGAAGATGGCTGTATACACACTAGCTGGTTGATCCCCACAGGCTCTCAACACTCTGGGGGAAACACCATCTGGTCCCACTCCTTTATGGGGGTTTACCTGTCTCAGGGCCTTCAGGACCTGTGTGTGCGTCACCTGAAAAGCAGTGTCCCCCGGGTCAGAGGGGGATTTGAGGGGGTGTCTGTGATCAACCTGTCAAACCTCGCACAGAAGTTGTTGAGGCTATCCGGGAGGGTGGCGTCCTGAGGGGCTGTGTTTGTTGATTTGTTCCTGTAGTTGCTGACTGCCTGGATTCCCTGTCACATACTGCGTGTGTTGTTATTCATATAGTAGCCCTACAGTTTTTGAAAGCACCATTCTAGCGGGTGCGCATATGGATGTGCACCAGCTGATATAGTCACTCAGTCTCTGCATATTCATGGATGTCGTCTGTGGCCCCTTTGAAGATGCTCCAGTCTGTGGCCTCTAGACAGCCCTGCAGGCTGGCCTTTCCACAGTCAATCCAGGTGTTAACAGTTCTCACTTAGATTGGTTTCGCCTTGAGTCGTTTGGTGCGAGTAGGTTTGATTCAGATTGCTAGGTGGTCAGATCTACCAAAATGAGGATTAGGTTCAGCTGAGAAAGCATTTCTAATGTTACTGTAACATTGGTCCAGTGTTTTGTTTACTCTAGTATGAAAGGTTACAAACTGATACAGTTTAGGCATGCTTTTCCTGTGATTGCAGTGGTTAAAATCCCCCAGAATAATAAAAGCAGCATCAGGATATGCGTTTTCGTGCTCATTAATCATACTGTACAGTTCCTTCAGTACAGATTCCTCTTTGCCTAAGGGGGGGGGCATACACTGCGCTCACAATGATACATTGCAGCTCTCGAGGTAAATAAAATGGCCTTAGCTTTAGTGTTAAATATTCCACATCTTCAGAACAGAATTTAGAGAGAATCTTATAGTCTGTGCACGCAGAACTATTTGACGAAGGCGGCCGTTCCACCTCTGCAGGTCTTGCCGCTTTCAGCGGCACTGCGATCCTGTCTGAACGCAGAATAACCATCCAGTGTTATACCCTCATCGGGAGTCTCTTTTCCAAGCTGTGTTTCACAAAAACACAGCAGGGAGCAGTCCTGTATGTCCTTCTGCGAGGTAATCCAAGCGTGGAGTTCATCCAGTTTATTATCCAGAGACTGGACATTTGCGAACAGTACAGCAGGGAGGGCTAGCCTGCCGCTGCTAACTAAGCGCCGGAGCCTCCGTTCAACTCTCCCCCGTCTGCGCTTCGGTTTGTTGTTATCTGAAGAGCTCCCTGCTGGGGGTTGGTCTAGAATTGTGTTGACATAGCATATTAGCTCTGGGTGAGAGTCCAACGTGCTCAGGTCAAAATCTCCAAAAAGACTGCGCTCTCTTAGCAGTAAGTCGCCCGGTCATAAATAAAGTTTGCGGTCTTTACTGGTGCTTTAACACGGCACAAATAAGCAAAAAAAAAAAAAAGAGACAAAAGAGAAACAACCTGACTGAGTGAACTGCGACGCCACACCCCGTGGAGCGCCATCTTGTGTGCCCTTGCTCCGACACTCCGGTTGGGAGAGATTGCTCTACCCACTGAACCACAGTCGACGTTTATTTCTCTTTAGACAAATGACAGCAAATGCCAAAGAACAAGAAGCTGACAATAAATCACTTGTATTTCTGCAACTCTGCTGCTGCAAACTCACATAATGAACTTTTTCATTTTTGCCACATGTCAGAGTTTGCACAATTTAATTGACAGTTTAGTGAAAGTAAGAAAAATAAAGTTAAACTAAGACATGAGACAGAAAAACTAAATATATTAAGCTGTCAGTTGTTAGCCCATAGCTTGTAACTCATTCGGTTAAATGTCACTGGCTGAATACATTACACTGTGCAGCAGGAGGCTGCTATTAACAGGAGACTCACAGTTCAATTCAGTCTGGCGCAGAGCACAACAGATGTCTGCTAGAGTTTCAGTGGAGGTAAATGAAAGATTAATTGGCTCATTTCTAAAGAATCACAATGTAGCGCCTCCACGTGCAAACACGTGAAATAACACTTGCATCGCATTACAAAATTCTGAAAGACACATTCTGCTATGCAAGAGGACATGAAACCCTCCCTGTGCAGCTGGAAGCGTCTGCAGATGTGTAGAGTATGAAGGAGCTGGTAGACAAGAAAATGAACCAGTAATGGAAATAATTAACAACCGTGGCCCTAAACTGAATCGGAGCCTTCTAGAAA